GAATGTCCCAAGCATCAGGTGTCTGATGGTGGCGGATCTGAAGGAGGGCTCAGCCGATCAGCAAGACGCCTTTGAAGGTCACAAAACACATTTGGCTGTATGAGTTCTGATGCGTATGCTAAAATCATCAGTCACGTTACTTTACAGTCACACCTCGTACTCTTGTTCTGGAAAATCAATAAAGTGAGGAGAAGGACAGGGAGATTGTGTGTAACTATTTAAAAGACAGAAAATAAAAAAAAAAAATATTCTGCGGAAGTGGTCCTGGAGGAAGTACAGACCCAGTTTTCATAAGGAGGCTCAATTTTATCTGCAAGCTCATCGCTGAGTTATTAAACCAAAGTACCCTTGGCATCCTAGGCAAAAATACATAAAAAAATTAAAAGGGGGGAAAGAGTGCATGTCGTTCTTCCAGGTGCTCAGAGGCACTGGGAATTACATGGCCTTTAAAATGTCTTTCTAAACTGTGTCTATTACTCACGCTCTTCGTGTTTTGTTCCAGTCAGTGTTACAAATTCTGATGCCACCGAGAATCTGCTCCCCGTCTCCCCTGCACGACCCTTCCTCCCGGAGCTCTAGGACTTTCTGCTTCCCAAGGTCACTAGGACTGGCTGGTGACCCAGAGGCCAAGGGCTGGGATGGAAATGGGGGGTAGCAAGAGTCGGGCATGAAGCTGCATTGTGATCCCTGGACGCTGCATCACAAGATATTTCCTGCCTCCTGGGACAGCCTGGCAGCCCCAGTAACTGCCACCAGGGATGATTCGGGTGCCCAGGGGAGAGGAGGAGCAACAGTTTGTGGGCCACTTGTGTCGTACGCAACTCGCAGCCAGTGCTGGTGAAGATCCACCCATGGATCTTCATCAACACACTCAGAATCTCTCGATCCTGATCTACACCCGTGACAACTGCCACATCACCCTTCAGCTGCCCCTGTGGCTTTCCTGAGGGACTTGAGGGCGCTCCCTGCACCTGGCCAGACAGCTGTGAGTTCTCTTTCTCTCTGCATCTACATCTGCTCTGCTTTTGCCTCTGGCCGCTATTCTCCATGTCCTGAAGAAAACAGGACATCAGCCCCTGGAAACTCAGGGTCTGGAAAGGGATAATTTGTAATGTTTGTATTCTTCTGCTTCTGTTTGTTTTTGTGGTATTGGGATGGAACCCAGCACACACTGAGCTACATCCCCATCTTTATTTTAAAATTTTGTCACAGGGTTTTACTAAGTCACAGTTTAGCACAGGCTGTGCTCAAACTTGAGATCCTCCTGCCTCAGTTTCTCATTATCCCTCTGTTTTTCAGTTCCTCCATTTCCATCACACCAATTACCTCCCCTTTTCATTATTTATTGTTTCATTTTGTTTTATTGAGATAAAGTCTCACTATATAGCTCAGACTGGCCTTGAACTCACTACGGAACCCACACTGGCCTCAAACTTGCAGGGATCCTCCTGCCTCAGCCTCCAAGTGCTGGGACGGCAGGCATGCACCCCCATGCCTGGCTCACAATCAGCCTTTTAAGGAAGGTCTTGTTGTACTGGTCTTGTTGCACTCCTACCACAACCATATGCAGCATCACTTTATAAAGATTCATGGGGGCACTGGCTTAATAAAGATCGCAGGGTTCTTTACTTCAGAGTTTCTTGGCACCCTTGATTCACTGTGAGTCTCTGAGAAAGGCCTGCCCGGGACCTAATTTCCCACACTTAGGGACAGAATGTGGGAAATGAATGCCAAACTGGTCATCAGTGTGCAAATACCCACATTCTGAGGCGGAACACCTGATCCTGCCACCTCTGGTTGTACCAGGGATCACAGTCTTACGCCCCTGGAACATGTTGGGCATTGGTTCCAGAGCCCCCAGGACACCAAAATCTGAGGATGCTCAGGTCCTTTACATAAAAGTGTATGGTGTTTGCAAATCACTGCGTATATCCTCCTGTGTGTTTTAAATCACAGCTCGGCCACTTATAGTACCCCACACAGTGGAAGTGCTATGGAAGGAGTATTACACGGTACTGTTTAGGAGAGAAGGACACAGAAAAGGTCTCAGGGCAGACATGTGCATCACAGCTCCCAACACCCTATCACCACAGGACAGGCAAGCAGCGCTCATGTGAGTCCCGGACAAGGACAAGCTGTGGCGTGGCGGGAGGACACGGCAGCAGATGTCCCCATGTGCTGTGTCCCCCAGATGTCCCCCTTCCAGTGCATTCAGTGTAACGCTCAGCGTGGGGGAAACTCTAGCTTTGCTTTTCAGAGCTATCTAGGAGTTTTTTCAAATATTTCAGTCCGCGGCTGACTGACTCCAGGGATGGACTGGGCAGGGCTGGAGGGCTGACGGTACCCAAACAGCTTCTCTCTCTGATGACCTTAAGATTTCTCATCCTGGCGCCAATGTTCCACCTCAGTGGTTTCTTTAAATATGATCTGGGAGTAGACGCGGCTCTAGCATCGGAATCGAGTTCTTCCACACATAAAGCAAGCTCTCTTCTGAGAAAGAAACGTCCAGGTATAGCAGTAGGCTTTCGCAGCAGTCTTGATAATCCCCAACCACCCGACATGTGCGTAGTGCCCAGGGTTGAACCCCGGAGCAGTCTACTACTGAGTTTACCCCCAAATGTTTTTATTTTTATTTTGAGACAGAATCTTCATAAATTGCCCAGGCAGGACTTGAATTTGTGGTCTTCCTGCCTCGGCCTTCCTCAGTGCTGGGATTAGAGGCATGTGCCACTGTGCCCGGTTCATATTTTAATGTAAACTGGTCGTAGGAGAAGACTGGATCAGAACGCTACCTCACTCTGGTCCCTATTTTAATGTCAAACTGATTTGTACCTCTAGGTCTGGGCGGCTGAGCTTTGAGCGCAGGCTGGCATTAAAGCCCTCCCAAATCCCCCGGTGCCTTAGTCACCTTCCCAGGGTGGGGATAAAATATTCAACACCTGACACTTAAAGGAGGAGAGGTTTATATTGGCTCATGGCTTTCATCTGTGCAAGCTGGCACCAAGGCAAAAAGGGTATGATGACAGGGCCTGGCACAGAAAATCCAGCCACTGCTCGTAACCAGGGGAGGAGCAGACAGCAAGGGAAGGAGCCGGGGACAAGAATACGCCAGGTCACACCCTGGTGACCACGTCCAGCCTGTCCCCACCGCCTATCAACACACGAAGCTACGGAATCCTTAGATGGACACAACGCTCCTTGATCCAAGCGGCTTCCATACACGTGAGACGCTGGGGGACGTTTTAGATCTATCTGAACGACACTGAGACAGCGTCTCAGCCCCTCCCACGTCCACCTCGCTGCACAGGTGGCATTGCTGCCTCTCTCAACACCTCACCAACCAGGAGGTGTCCCTGTCACCCCTGTCACCTCAGATGTTCTACCCCAAGGCCAGAAACCCGCCGTCTCAAGGCCTCCGTCCCCACACCACGACACTGCTTTCCTCCTCACCACCAGAAAGGAGCAATGTGCCACTCTTACGTGTCAAATTGTTCTTCTTTTTGCTAAGTATCCACACTAGAGAAATATAGAAGATGCAGGGAGACTGAAAGAAAAAAAAAAAAAACCCACAACTCCACCACTGAAAGAACCCCACTCTTAATATTTGGGCTATTTCCTAACACTCCTTCTTAAAGAAAGAGATCTTTATCCTCCCAGCAGGAATCCTGCAGGCAGATCTCAGGCATTGCTTGAAAGGGTAAACGTGCTAGTACTTCAGGTCGTTGTGAGCAATAGTCGTCTCCTGCAACTTGTTTCTTAGAATAAGAATTTCAAACCATTTTATATAGAACAATAGGGCAGGGGCTTTGCCCTTTTTTTTTTTTTTTTTTTTTTTTTTTGCAGTGCTAAGATTCGAATCTAAAGTCTCACGCATGCTAGGCAAGGGCTTGAGCACTGAGCTATATCCCCAGCTAAAAAAGGAATTTTTACAATGTTTTATGTGGGGTGTTCACCATTTCACACATGCTGCATGACCTTTTAGCTAACCTGGTCTCCATCTGCAAGTCCATCTCCAGCCTCAGTGGCACAGCCTTGACCACTGGGTGATGACACACCAGTCCATCTCAACGATCATCCCTAAAAAATGGCATCCAATGCAGACTGGGGAAAACTATCAATTATACCTCATCTCGCTTGTAATAGACACTTTTTAAGTGGGAGGAGCTTATTTTGTCTTCTTTCCAAATTCATGCATTCAGTTAGTAATTAAACAGTGGTGATTAAACCCAGGCCATGGGAGCCGGGGTTATAGCTCAGCGGCACAGGCCCTGCCTGGCAAGTGCGAGGTTGTGAGTTCGATTCCCAGTACCAAGAAAAAAAATAAGTAAACCCATGCCATGGTCTCCACTCTACAAGGGGAGTGGGGACACCAGATCAGCCTATCTGTGACAACTACAAAGGCAGACAGCAAGCTTTCAGGTGAGGGGTGAGTAGTGCAGGAGGATTCGGGTTTGTAAGGAAGGAGAAGCCCAACAGAAGGCAAGAGGGAGGGAGGTGCAGGGGAGACTAGGGACTAGCAGGAGGCTTCAGCCAACATTCATTAGGGGACAACTAGCGCCAGGCATTGTGAGGGAACAGGAGGAGAGATCTGATAAAAGTGATGGAAACAGGGGACTTCTGAGTGCCTCTGGGAAACAGGAAATGGTTCCCTGACGAAAAGCCCTGGGTTTAGAATTGAAGGAAAAAGCAGAGGAACACTGTTTCCAAGTAAGGAGACCAGCTCTGTGCAGGAATATGTCAGCCACTGCACCAAGCGCAGGTCCATGTACCCACCGCACAGGACGTGAGTGACAGACAGGGTTACAGAGCCATTGGCGGAGCTGGGTCAAGCTGGAAGGCCTGGGAACGAGCTGATAAACATGGACTTCTTAACTTGACTCCATCAGCCAGGTGCCGGGCAGGCCTCGGAGCCCTGGACTTCTAGTTTCCAGGATTGTAATGAGCAAGGCGCTCTTGTCCCTTCCTTAAAGAGACAGTAGGCTGAGGGACCAGATGCAAACTTGAAAGCCCTGATGACTCTACCTGCTCGGTATTTAGGATCCCCACAGCAAGCTCACCTGGCCCTGGGCAGGTGTAACTCTCCAAGCAAGGACTAGTGTGTTTGGACTTTTAGAATCCTTCCCCCTCCACAATTTCTCCTCAGGCAGGAGGCAGCGTGAGCCTTTCCACCTCCAGGTTCCGTGGCTGAGAAGCTGAGAAGCCGAGAAGCCTCTAGCTGGAGCCAAAGCTCACTCTCTCTTCCACCCTTGGGAGACAGCCTCAGGGAGGCCTTGCAGAGTTCAAGCTGGGAGCTGCTGCTCAGCTGCCGCCTGGAGTTTGGCCCTGAACAGGAGTGCGGGGAGCCCAAGGACGGCAACCTTTACACTGGATCCAGGGAGGGAGCCAAGGACATCAGAGCCCAGTAGCAGCCACGGCCATGGCCATGACCATGTTCTCCTGCAACCCCTCCCCCTTCTCGGGAGCCTCTCCAGAGTGAGCTCCTAGCAGGGGCTCCGGATCTCCCCCTGCCTGGGCATCTGACCCTCATCTCCTGTTCCCTGACCTTGTGCCAGGGCCTCCCAACTCGCCAGGCACACATTAACAGGTCAGTAAATATCTTTGTGATAACAAATAGCGTCGGCGCTCACTTCCTATTCACCACCTGTGCTTCGTGCCTCTATCTTAATCTCTGTGTCTTTGAACCCGGTTATGAATATGGCCCCAGGAACAGATTACACACACACAGCTGCCTCGCTGGAGGGGCCGCGTCCCTGAGTCTCTGCCACAAGCCGGTTGTAAACACCCAGTGACGGCAGCTTATCAGTCAGGACGCAGGCACCTTTCTGCGATCCGAGCAACGTTAATGTGTGCAATTCACTCGTTCACTCATCAAACATTTATTGAGGCCATTCTCCATGTCAGGCGCAGAGCTGAGGGTTTGGAACGCAGAAATGAAAAGGACTCGATAAAGACAGAAGCAAAATTATAGGAGAGTGTACAATGCAAACACTGATGCTGCGATATATTGGGGGGCTCAGGTGGACACGCTTTGAGAACCAGGATGAGAAGCTAATGATGAGAAAGTAGTATGAATAAGCATATGAGTAAGAAGTTAAAAATAAATTTATAAACCTAAATCCCTAAAGATTTCTTCCTTCTTTCCTTCCTTCCTTTTTTCCTTCCTCTCTGCCTCCCTCCCTCCTTCCTTCCTTCCTTCCTTCCTTCCTTCCTTCCTTCCTTCCTGCGTGCCTGCCTTCCTCCCTTCATTTTGTGCTGGGGATGGAACCCAAGGCCTCATACATGCTAAGCACATATTCTACCAATGAGCTACACCTTAACCCCAGGACCTACCTTCCTCTTCTTTGGGGTTACGTAGGTGACAGTTATGGACAATAGCGGACATCTACCACACACCCTCTGCATGTCAGGTGCTGTGCTTTGGACTCAGTACAGAAGGAGGTCCGGATGGACTACTGGGGGGGGGGGGCTACCATCCATGCTCGGTTTTACATGTGGCCCTTTTCAGTGCCAGACAAGCTACACTGAGATAGAAAAGTTCAAAAGATAATTAAACCAGTTAAAGAAGCAAAACAGCACTGGGACTGAAGCTGGGTTTCAGAGCCAATTTCCAAGAAGTAATTTCATCATCATAGAACATCAAACGTGAATTCCACTTTCAGCTATGCAAATTCCAAAAGAATAATACCTCACATTTGCATAATGCTTGATGCTTTTCAAAGTGCTTTCCCAGTTATTAATCTACGGGAGGCTTTATTACCACTGGAAACATAAATTGAAATTCTGTTCCGACTCCACTAGTTTTTCCACTTTCCCCTCAAAACCCAGAGCCACATAAATCCAGCTGCTTTTGATCGAGTGGACAGCTACTCAGTGCAAGGGACAGGGTGGATGTGCAGAAACGCAGCACATTGTGAGGTCTTCCATCTACAGACATCACAGGGCCAGGCTTAAGAAAATCTGCTGTTGAATTAACAAAACCACAGGGGAGCAACTTGTAGTTCAAGTTGGAGCTTTTTTTTCAGGGTCTCAAACTCTGTGTAAGCTTCACGCACCACGCTCGCTGGAATCCATTCCCTTCTATCAGATTTTAGGAAATTAGTTCTACCGCTTTGTCCTTAACCCTGCAGAAATCCCTGTCGATGACTTCCCACGAAGTGGCCCGTGACTGCCAAACGGCTCGCACATCTTTTCTGCTTTTAATGTAATATGAACCAAGAGGCTGCCTGCGCTGTAACTCCAACGTGGAGAGAGGATCTTAGAAAAATGAGGTGAGAAGATGTGACGGGGTATGAGGAAATACTTCTACCCAAACCTAATGCCTTTCCAATTTTCTTCTTTTCTATCTCTTTCAAACTTAATTATGTGTAGCGTTCTCAGTCACTGAATCACCAGCATTTCCTGACACTTCAATCTCATGCATTTTAGCAAAAGATTAACCTGGCTGTTTGCTTTTAATTCTGAAGTTGTGTTAATACTCAACTCCCTCTAGATTAGAAAAGAAGAAAAACACACTCCCGCACACACACCCTGGCACCGGGAAAGCGCCACAGCTCACGTCTCTGCCCAGGTCACGAAGCCTGTGGCTCGCTGCACTTACCAAGTCAGGAGGGCCGCGAGAGCCACAGACAGGGCCACGGTCACCGTGAGACCGTTCGCTTCCAGTCTGAGAAGCCCCAAGACTTCCATGGCTCCTCTAAGACCCCAGAGGTGGCGTTCCTCAAATGAAAGAGCGTGGTTGATGTCCCTACCCCAACTGGAGCCCTGATCTGCAGGTGGAGGAGAGAGAAGTAGGCAGCTAAGCACACATCACCTCAAGTGGGTCCCCCAAATGTGCTCTTTCTCAGAGAGCGACTTTAGAAAGAGGAAGGAAGAGGAGGGGAAAACAAAGGGTTTCAGGGCAAGGCGATGAATCAGCGACTTTATTTTCTCGATGACTGTGCTGTCAATAAACATTTATGTTAACTTCCCTGGGAAGCAGCAGCAGACAGACAGACAGGCCCCATATTGGCTAAGACCGGAATGGTTGCAACCGTAGACAGCCGTGCAGATAAGTAGCTCTCAGAGAAAGACCCTACTCCAAAATATACACGTATATGCTTCCAAAATTTATAATTAAGATACAGGCAAGGAGATTCTTAATGTCCCAGAAAAATGTGGGGCTGGACATCAGCTTGACGTCCAGCCGGCTGCCCCGCGAAGTGCCTTAGTTGCTGGGTTAATAACTCTCGTGGCTGGGAGGTGTCCCTGGCGTCTAGCTGCCCGAGTAGCCACAGATCTGGTCTCTCCTTGATGTGCCCATGGGGAGCAGGAGGGTTTCTTCAGGGTTCTTTGTCTGAGCTCTGAGCTTCTCTGTCTAACGTAGACTGGGTCATTTTTTTTTTTTTTTTTTTTGCTTATTACTCAGCGCATTACACCTTAAGTAACAGGAAGGGTGGACTCCAGCGGGGATCATTCATACGACGTTCATTCACTCATCCGACATGTGAGCGGGCCAGGCTCTGTGCTGTGTTTACAAACAGTGTTGGCCCCAGACCTGGGAGAATTTTCTTTGGAGAGAGACAGACAATAAACAGGGAGGCAAATAAAGCAGTAACTGCAAGTAGAGAAAAGCAGCGTGCTGGTCACGAAGACGGGCTGTGATGTCACTAGGAGGGTGTGGCACCAGAAGGCTGTCCGAAAGGATGGCTTTCAACTGGGGCTTGTCACGGAGTAGCTCATCCTGTACAGAGCCACCAGTAAAACCTCGGGCAAAAAAGGAGGCGAAGATGAAGGCTGTGTCATGGGACAGAGCTTCTCATGCTGTAGCAGCGCGGTGGGACTGGTACCTGCCATCACTGTCCTCTTGCTCAGTGGCTGCTCCGTGAGGCAGGTGAGGCAGGGGTAGGCTGATGGGGCTGGCATTCTTCATCTCTAGTTTTCAAGGCTGATTATTTTCCAGGGTGGTCTTTTTTGGGGGGAAACACCCAGGTGCTGTTTTCTGAGCTTGCATGTGTGCCAATGCATTCAATCCACCCGAACAAGTCTAAGAGGCAAAGCCCGTGGATTTGCCCCATTTTACAGAAGAAGAAACTGAGGCAAGGTGCTGTGACTCTAACGCCCATTCTCTTCATCAAAAGGTTGTATTTAAACCTGGAAGTCATCCACATAAACGCAGCATAGAAATGCAGAGGACTAGATGAGCTACATCCATAAATAAGACAGGGCCTACACAGGGACTAAGTAGTTTCCTTGCTTTCAGACTGTTCTGCCTCTGTCCCCAACTGCAGGACCTCGTCTGGACCCAGGTGTCCCTGGCTACGGCCCAGTCTTTGAGGATTTCCCCGCCTCCCGGTCCCACCTGACCAGCACCTGCTAATCTTAACTCCCACAAGGTCTTAATGGAGTTGTGTGTTCTCGCTCCTGGAGTGGGGCTCCATCTCCATCTCTGCAGGGCTCGATGCTCTCGGCCTTCGGCCCAGGAAGCCGCTATAGAGGAGACAGCAAATGCATTGACTTCAGCCATGGGTTCGGTGAGTGACCTCGGCTGTGACTTAATTCAGTGCACGCATCCAACATCTGCTCAGAACAATTTTTAAAGATTCCAAGGTGAAATAAATGTGAGATGGGCTGGTGTAAACACCAATCTGCAAGTTTATTTCCTGTACAGCTTCTCAGAGACCTGAACCTGCTGAGATGTGTTCTCGGGGACATCCGAGTGGGACACAAGAGCAGCGCTCCCCAAGTGCCTTTGGCCACAGTGTCCCTCTCCAGGGATGCTTACCGACATATCCCTGGAGGCGCTTTGAGAAATGTTGACCGGAAAACTATTTACAGAGGAGGAAGTAGAAACCCAGAAAGAGAAAGTGACTGGTATGAGATCCACCATTGCTGGTGCTGGAAGCCGGGTCTGCATTGCGCTGCTCTGGCTCTACATGGAGATGATGCTCCTATGCTGCCCTGTGGGCTTGGCACACCCCGCCCCAGCCCAGGGCCCACCCTGTTACACAGATGCCTGAAAATGCTGGTGGCTGGGCCAGAGACACCTGGCCTTGAGGGCTGCCCACTCTCCTAGGAGCACTAAGTTCGGGGGTCCTTCCTTTAACATCCCTGGAGCCCTTCCTAGGTATTGTGAGATTTGGAGAAATCATAAGCACTTTGGAGAGATGCCCACGCCCTTTCTCTGCCAGCTGCAGAGCAGAAATAATACTCTGAGAACTGTGGATGACACCTTAGCCAGGACGAAAGAAAAGGGTCAGAAATGAGCGAGCTGAAGGATTCTCACTGTGAAAGTGACATGATTAATGACGTATTACAATTTTGCTATCCGTGACACAATGCAGGGACACTATGGCTGGGATTTTTCCAGGATGAAGGGCAGACTGTTGCCATGATACCATAGTTAAACATTTGGCCTTTAACTATGTTCTGGATATTTTTCTTTTAATAATATGTCTACTAAAAATAATCAACTCAATCGAGCTGAATAGTAACTATCCAATATCCCAACTCCCACAGACAGACTGCTAACACATTAATGTACCCCTCCCCATACTTTCCCATGTATGTGTAGGCATGTGTATATTTTTAGTGTTTATGGAAGCAAGATCACATGCGGGCCATTCTGCAAGTGGGTTTTTTACTTCCTGTGTCATGAGTACCTTGCCTTGCCTATACCTAGAGTCTATGCCTAGATGCCATGCAGCTACTCCTGACTCCACTCTACAGATGAGTTGTAATGCACTTCGCCCATCCTCTTTGGACAAGATTCAACTTGCTTCCACGTTTTCCCAACTTCAGAGAGTTCTTAGCAGTGGAACACCCAGGCCCAAAGGTTTGTGTTTCAAAGATGCTGGGAGATGCCGCCCTGAGCCGGGGCGATGTGGCTTCCCGTCCCGAGCCTGCATGGTAGGCACCCCACAGAACTCTCTGTCGCCACGCACTCCGAACCTATCTTTTTCTCCAGGCAGACATCTCCCCAGAGTTGAGTCAACTGTTTTGACTTAAGGCTTGTGTTTCTTTTTAAAGCTTTCACTCCATAAATTCTGTGGCATTTCCTCCATGTTCCTGTGTTTAAACACTGCCTGTGCAGATGTCTGAGCAGGGTCTTGCTCTCCGGGGAAGGTTTCCAGCTGCTTGGCACTGAGGCTTAGGCCATAAGAGGTGTCACTGGGCACATTCACATCGCCATGCGGCAACTGAGCAAAGGGACAACGATGGGCCCTCAGCACTGTGTGAGGACAAGTGTGTTGGTTTGGGGCTTATTTTGCAAGGGGAACAACATAATACAGGACACATACTTCATATGATTATTTATAAGTCACCCAAAGAACAGTATACAAAAGAGTGCAGGGAATCTGTCCACACACTAAGACCAAGGAATCCAGCTGAGGTCCTGGATCCCACAACAATGTCCTACATGAGTTGAGCTGAATACCCAGAGCTCACAACAATGCCTCCCATGAATCCAACTGGAGGCCCAGAGCCCATGACATCGTCTCATGCAGGCCTGTTTCATGGATCTGCTGGAAAGGCCCAAAGGTCAGTGGTGGAATCTACAAAGTCTGTGCCAGCAGGAAGAAGGACCTATGCTAGCAGGCTGAGGGATCTGTACTGGAGCCAGGAAGTGATGCTCAGAAGAACCAGAGCTCCCCCAAAAGATACCACAGCCATCATCGGCAACAGTGAGGTCCCGAGCTCCTCCGATGATCAGGATGGCCAAGTTCCCATCAGGGAAACCAATGCAGCAAGCTTTTCCAGGAGGCCGGCAGTGCACCATCTTCCCCTCTGGAACCAGGCAGCTGTGCTCAAAGTGAGGACCAGAGCTCCCCAAAGTGAACCAAAGCCATTCTCAGTGCCAGCGAGGTCCCGATCTCCTCAGAGGATGAAAACAGCCAAGTTCATTGGGAAAGCCAGCTTCCCACGGCCTCTCAGCTCCCAACAGCCCATTTCTTCTTCTCCAGGTCTGCCTCTTATGCTGCTGGTAACTGTCCTCAGGTGGGCCTCCCACACCCAGCACCACAGTTACTCAGTTCAGCTGGGGGTTATAAGTTGACCACCAGTTATCAATCCACTACAACAAGGACCTTTGACTTGTTATCTTTTTCCTACAGAGGAGGAAACCACATTTTCCTGGGATCCAATTGTCTTCAGCCTTGCTGTCCCACGATCATCTGAAATCAGACAATCAATATGTCCTAGAGGTCAGGCTCAAGCCCCAGTCTTCCGGCTTTAAACCCATGTCTTTTCCACTACTAAATCTAAGGTCAAATCTTCATTGAACGTATTCACAGTTCGAGGAGCTGGTCTGAGGTCATGATACGGTTTGATATCATACTTGCCTGCCTCAGGTGCAGAGCTGTACAGGGCTGGTGTGTGCTGGTGGTCTGCCCCATGCCCTTGCAGAAGATACTAGGGCTTCTGGAAGGCTGAAAACCTCAGCTACCCCAGTTTGGTCCAATCTCCTCAATATCGCCAATACCTAACATTCTCTGTCCTATTTGGGGGAACATAAGACCAGGTTAGGAGGACTCACCTTTTCTTTCATTAGTCAACAAACACCACATAATAGTAGGCACTGGGTAGTAGGATTAGAATCCCCAGCTATAAGACCCAGGTCTTGCCAACAAGGGGCTCATCTTCCAGGATAAAGAAATAGACTGAAAACAACTAAGTCCTTCAGTATCAGAAGCTATGTAAAAATCAGAGGACAAGAGGTTGGTAAAAGGGTTGAAGCAAAGGATGCCGGAACTTAGACACAGCTGCATAGCGAGGTCTTGCTCAAAGGCATGGGAAGCTGGAGGTGAACGGGGAGGATGGTAAGAGACCCTGTGGCCAGGTCATGCAAGGTACTGTGGGTCAGGCCAAGGAATTTCCACTCTATGGGGAGGCCAGAGGGAAGCTGCAGCAGGGGTGAGATTGAGTAGCAATGTGATCAGGTTCACTTTTAGCAATACCCCTCAGGAAGCAGACTGGACGGTTTATACCTGAGACGAAGAGGCCAAGCAGACATCTAGGTAAGACACCATGGCCTGAATAAGGCAGCAGACATGGAAATGGGCAGGGTGGGGGCTGGCTTTCAGGGTCACTGGGAAGGCAGAATCAAAGCATTTGGTCGCTGATTGAGTGTGAGGGTGAAAAGAAGACACTGAGGATAACTTGAATTTCCAGTTTCATTGATTGAGCCCAATATGGTGCCCTACAGCACGACAAGGATTCAGGGAAAAGAATGTGGAGGGGAAAGACTGAGGCTTCAGCTTTTGCACGCTGAGCTCAGGGCCCCTGGTGGCCACACAGGGATAGAGGTTTAGGACGTGGCCCGACCTATAAAGGTCAGGAAGAAAGACCTGAGGGAGAGGAGCAGTATTTATCCTGAGAACCATTCGTGTGTGGCTGCGTGGAAGCTGTGCGTTAACACGGAACACTGGAAAATGGGCCATGGAAAGGACACTCAGGAGCTCAGCGTTACAGCGGGGAGCAGAGAGGACCCCAGAGAAGGATGTGGGGAGACAGAGCTGGAGAACTGGCAGAGGGGCTTCAGTGCTTAAGGATGTAGCTTTGGGTTTGCAAGTGTCCCAGGTTCAAATCCTGCTGCTCCCGCTTTCTGGCTCACACGGCCTTAGAAAACAACTTAATTCGCCAAACCTGTTGTTCGCATTGCAAAGGATTGTGGGGAAAAGGAGGCACTTGGTGTAGGCTGCTGGGCAGGGCTCTGACACACAGTAGGTGCTTGCTACATGCTCTCTGTGAGCATTTTCCCCACAACCACCAGAGGGACAGGGCAGTGAATGTTCCGGAAGGGCCAAGTGACAGGATACTGATGCATCTTTGGGTGTAGCAATTTGGTCATGACTCCCCCCCACACACTGGCTTTGTTGTGTTTTTTCGTGTTTCTTTGGTACCAGGAATCAAACTCAGGACCTTGTGCTTGGCAGGCAGGTGCTGTGCTGTTGAGCTATATCCCCAGCCCCATACTGGCTTTGGACTGGTTTGTGTGGAGAGATAGAAATAGAGAGAGGGAGGCCTAGAAAAGGCTAATCCACCCTGCCCCACCTTTGGGCGCTGTGGTTGAGAGGTGGGGAAGATACAGGGCTGCTAGAGGAGTAGAATTTCCAGGTGCCACCATCTGAAGCAAGAGTGTCCCCTGCATTGGAGACTCATGAGAGACAGCAGCCATCCGCGTGCCTTCCCCTGCTTGTGATAAGGGCAGAGCTCTCCCCTCACTTCAGGGTTGCTATGGAGATGTGGACGGATGCATAAATAGCGTTAAGGTCTATGTCAGATCTTGATTTTGTATTGGTTGTGAGGGCAGGGACCATATTTTATACATCACTGTACAACCACACCACCTGCCACGTTGCAGTCACTTCCTCTTGCGTGGCTCTCATTAACATCTGCAGGCTGAGCACTTCCTGATGTATTCTGTCCAGCCCATTTCCCGCTCCTGAGTCTCAGACCAGTATCTTCAGCTGCCCACCGGGCTGCCCCTGACAATCATCCCGTACTCGACATCCCTGAAACCTGATTCATTACCACACCTTCCTTCCCCCATGAACCTCCTTCCCCCTTCTCCATCTCAGTAAATTCTACCCCCTTCCACTGGACCCCGGGCGAGAGACTTGGGCGCATCCTTGACTCTTGCTTCTCTCTCAGCCCCACACCCTGTTGGCTCATTCATCCCACTTTGTCCCACTGGTTTGGCCAAAGCACTGGTGTCGACTCAGCGTTATGTCCTCTTCCAGGTGGTGGATACACTGCTGCGGCAAACAAGGAATGTGTCTAATCTCATAGCACTTGTGTCTGGAGAGGCATCCTCTCATCCACTGCCCAGTCTCAATTCCATGATGTCTCGATAGATTGCAGTTAGCCTTGTAGGCTCTCCTTCCTTCCTTCCTTCCTTCCTTCCTTCCTTCCTTCCTTCCTTCCTTCATTCAATAATTACCCATTGAGTTTGTTGTATGAGCAAGGACTCTGCATGTGCACCTGAAACAAGGACTGGCATGGCCGGCAGCATTGGGCAAGGGATAATGTAGGACTGGCT